ACGTACACTGAGAAACATGGTGACATGATTCTAAAAGCAATTCTATCCTCACCCTGTCGGGAGGTTAACTGTGACGAGAAACCGATTGACACAAAACCAAGATCTGCTATGATGCCTGCCCCTGCTGAACCTGCGACGCTGTATTAATCCCGCCCTGCTCGGCTGTCCAGTGCCCGGGGCGATTCATGCACAGCGGAGACCTGTACAGTGCCACCATCCCCTTCCACAGTCCTTTTTCTCTCCCTCCTCTTTCGCGTTATACTATGTCTTCGTGTGGCTGCTGCGTCCACAGTGTAGCGTAGTATGTGCAATCGTTGTATAATGCTTCTTTATGGTTTCTGGAATGTGAGTGTTTGTGCTTGTTAGAATTTTGATGCTCTGTTGCTTTCTTCTGTAGTTTGTTCTACGTGTGTTGTTTGTAATTGTCGTTATATTGCTTTTTCTTCTGTCTCTTTTTTTTTAAGTTTGTTTGACAAGGAAACCCTATTGCTTGCAGAGTCGATCACGTGAAATACGGCGAGGCGAAGCTGCGCAATTTGCAATGCGCCACCTGCCGTACGTTTTTCTGCTGGTGCTACTATTGTGTTGTGTCAGCGTGTATGCCACTGCTTCGAGTCTACATTGCGGCTTTAATGGGGTAAAAAAGAAACGTGTAAATCTTTCTGTGGCTGTGGTGCGTGAGGTTCCCGCAAAGGGTCAAGGAGCGTGGCAAGTGTATACCGCAGCTGTGTCTGACACATGGGCGCCGATCCGCATCTTTGTCTCGACGATTGACTTGTATAACCAAAGTATGCACTGCACGGCGAAAGAGCAACTTCGTCCGAATTTTCTGACGGGAATGGGTGTGTGCCAGGATGAAGATATTCTCACAAATGAGAAGAAAAGAACTCTGCTTGATCACGTCCTTCCAGCCGCCGTGAAGCTCCACGAAGAGCGCCTTCTCGTGAAACCCTTGAAGGGAGCTTTCAAGGTTCCAGAGTTTGATCGAGAAGACATGTGCTCCGCATTCTCCGTCCCAAAGGAGCACCGTGACCCTGGATTCTCCGGGTACGACACAGTGGTGTACGTTGCTGCTGGCCCGTCAGAGCATGAAAGTGTTGCCTGGGGGGTCCTGTGCGCTCTCCTGGATACTCGTCGCCCTGTAATAGGGGCCATGTACTTTGCACCAGCTCAAATTGCTGCGACTGCTGAGATGGTGCGTATTGCTGCACACGAAATGGCACATGTCCTTGGTTTCGACAGGGACATCTTCTACAATGCTAACATGATCACGGTAAAGCCCAACATAAGAGGAAAGACTGCGGCTGTTTTTCTGTCGTCTGCAAAAGCAGTTGAAAAGGCTCGGGAACACTACAACTGCAGCACTGCCCCTGGTATTGAACTGGAGGATGATGGCGGTGACGCTACAGCGCTTTCACACTGGGAGCGACGCAACGCTAAGGACGAACTGATGGCTGGGATTACTGGTGTCGGCTACTACACGGCACTGACAATGGCAGCATTCGAGGGTACTTCGTACTACCGAGCGAACTGGGGGATGGAAGAAACGATGAGTTGGGGTAAGGATGGTGGCTGTGAATTCCTTGGCGGTAAGTGCGTGGAGAACGATGTTTCCAAATACCCTGATTTTTTTTGTGCTTCCCGTGTTGAAACGCCTGTGTGCACCTCTGATCGTCGTGCGCTTGGGGCATGTGTTCTTTTCTCCCAAGAACAGGACCTTCCACAGGGGTACCAATACTTCAACGATCGTCGTCTTGGAGGTCATTTTTCGGAACTGATGGATTTCTGTCCAATTGTTTTGCCATGGGTGGATGCTTTTTGCAGCGGTGACAATAAAAATGCTTTGCCCGGGAGTCGTACTGGTCCATCATCGTGGTGTCTGAAGGGAGAGTCGCTGGAGCTGAATGGGAAGATTATTGGCGACGTGTGTGCTGAGGTACAGTGTGAGAATGAGAGTATTCAGGTGCGATACTATGGCGATGACGAGTGGTACCCATGTCCCGAAGGTAAGGTGCTTAAACCGAAGAAAGCCTTTACCAAAGGCAGTATTGTTTGTCCAAAGTACAGGGAAGTGTGTACTATTGCCTCAGGCGGAAACAGTCTCGTTCTCTTGAAGAAGAATTTGATAACAAACGAAGGTGATAATACTGGTGACTCCCGTTACTCTGGCGAGAAAGGTATTGGTACCAGAGGTTATACTGAGGGTTCTGGTGAATTCGGAACTATGGTGCAGGGTGATGCACAAAATGGAATCTCTCCTATTGGAAGGAGAACGATGCATGACACCACATTAAATATTCCCAGCAGTTTTCTCACTGGAGCTATGGATGGGACTGATGTCAGCGTTACCGCTTCATTGTTGATGTCGACATTAATTTTATTTGCTGCTCTCTCGGTAATGATGGGTCATTGAATTCTCAGGGACGCAGAAATATGAACCTCATATTATTGGAATCATAGGCGTCCTACTTGGGCGACAACAAAGTGCAGTTTTAGTATAATGGGTTTTTTTTTTTTGCTTTTACATCTTTATTGCTGGCCTCCAGTAATACTGTGATGTTATGGTTTTTTTTTGTTTTTATTATAATAATCATGATACAGAAAACCCATGTGTGCTCTATACAATAAACTACTAATGATACAGTGGAGCTTTATTTGTCAGTCTTTGATTGATATATTTCTTTTAACTTTTGCGTTTTTTTTTTTCTTGTTTTTATTATGTCTTGGCGTTTTCTTTTTATATTTAATACACACTGAAAGAGAATAAATGTTCCTATCCTCCTCTGGATATGTCAGGTCCCATGTGACTCTGTGCTCTTCAGAAAGCCTCGCATAAATCCTTTGCTTGCGCTGGAGCCCCATAGTCTCACTCTCGTTACTGCTCATGGTAATATATGAAAGAAAGAGAATGAAGGGTTATTGTCTCACGCGGGTGCAAGACCCTAAAGTAAATGGAATGGAGATGTTTTATTTTTATTTTTGGATAAAATTAGATCCTCGGTATTTATACTTTAGTGTATCCGGATGCTGAGAGTGTGTTCTGCACCTGCTCTTGCAAGAGCATCTTCTCCTTTCACTCGTCTCTTCTCGTTGAGAAAATAATGGGTTAGTTTTCGTATTTCTTCTGTCCTTTCTCCTGGCACTGATACGACGATCAAAAAACTGGTATGCAAACTCACATATGTGCAATTCATGTACGCATGCAAAATAGACCCCGAAAGATACCATCTTGTTCAGTGGTGTCGTGATTCCTTTCAGAGTTCTGGGTTTTCATGACATCAAAACCCATATCTTCAAAGAGAGGATCATAATCGTTAGTATTCCATTGTTCCTTTCTCCGTTTCGGCAGCACACAGCTAGTTCCGGTGCAGTACGACATTTGTAGCTTATTCAACAATGAATACTCCAGAACGAAAGCATCACCGGCTATTGGCTTCCTGAACAATATGAGATGCTTGGCCTTATTGACGCTATTAGTTGTACAAAAAAACACTAGTTTGATAACATTAATGGAGAATGCAAGTATGTGAAATGTTTTAGACATGGAATTTTGAGTTCATCTCTTTCAGAATAATTGTTTAATGGTTTTGACTCACCTGAGTTTGTTCCG